CCAGCCAGTTTCTCCTTGAAGCTGAGATCAGCATCCAAGACCCTTGGTGGAAGCTGGAACGAGCTCTTCTTCAGGAGGCTACAGCACAAAGAACGGCCAGATTTGCTTCCAAAGAAAATCACCATCATCTGGTGACAGGGATTGACTGGCACACATACCAAACGGTCCTCAAAGAGCTGCCAAGAGATCACAAGACGTATCTCCGCACCTGGACCCAAGGAGGCATCCACTACAAAGAAGCTGGGAAACCCAAACAGTGTCCAATCTGCAACGTACCAGCCACTGCCAAGCATATCCTATGGCTACGCAAATGGCATCAGACCCAACACCACCAGCCCATGCCCTCAGAGTGGGCAGAACGCATACTCACGGATGATGAAACACCACTGTGGTCGGCGGGATGGCTACCCTTGGAACCACAAGAGCATAAGCACATCAGACACCCTTACCAAGGCCATGGGGCCTGGCGTGAGCTGGCACCACTTGCCACGCATCAATATCAAGGATGGGCCTTCACGCTCGATGCCACCCCAACCAGCTATGATGCACGTGATCAAATTTGGGTGTTTGGGCTTTGCGTTCACAGCCTCAGCATGGGCCAACTTCAACGGTTGGGAGCCATCACTGGTACAACTGTCACACCCCATACCAAAGCAAGGGCCCTGATGGAAGGACTTGTTGCCCTGACCAAACATACCACAACGACTGTACGCGTCATTGTACAGCTGGTTTCGGTATGGGAAGCATGGACACATCCCAAGCACAGAGGACCCTTCCTCGACATCCTGGAACAGGTCACAGACCAGGATTTCAACAGAGTCACCGTGCTTTATGTCTCCAGAAACACAAGATCACCTGAAGCACCCGGCAGTGAGCCACAATTGAGAAGGAGACAACGGGATGCAGCTTTGACGGCTTGGGAGCGGGCAAAGGAGTTTCAAAGCAGCAAACGAACCGAATGGCAGCACGTTGTTGATGAGGATGCCAAGCTCATATACCAGCACGCCATTGAAAGACTTGCCAAGATCTACAAGGACAAAGACCACTACCTGCATCAAAAACCGGATCGACATCAGGGCAAGCACACCAAGCAGTACAAGAAGCAGCTCATAGGCAGGTGCAACAAACCATGGCTCACACCCCTGCACCGATGGGCACCTCACCGCAGTGGATACCAATGTGGGGCATGTGGGATCAGAGTGCACCAAGCCTTGACAGTAGTTGTGATCGAAGAGAGGCTCCAGGAACCCTGTCCTCAACTCAGCATTGAGGAAAACATTGCCGAACCGGCCAGTCCACATGTGCCCATGCCCAAGAAGAAGACCCGCCAGCAGGTCATCCAACAACCGCTCCAGCAACAACAAGCCCAGGCGGTTGACCAGACACAGCATGAGCTGGAAGAGACGACTGGCTATCTTCGTTGTGTCAAATGCGGCACCAGCATTCACAAGAGAAGCAATGAAACCACCTTTCAAAGCTTTCTCACTAGCAGCTGTTTGGACCAGCCCTACCCACATAGCCATGACGGCCACCAAAGCCATGCTCTTTGGCAGAAGGGCAGCAAGGTCACCTGCACACAATGCGGGCTTTCCTTGCACTTGGATGGCCAACAAAGAGTGATACTAACTGCCAGTATCAAGAGACCCTGCAAAGGGGCAGCTTCTGCAGGCACACCGCCATTAACCGACTTCTTTGCACGGCAAACAGGTGGAGAGAACACTCACACACAACAGCGTGCCGCTCCTTTGACTGAAGGGGGGCAACCACCCAACACCAAGGAGGTTGCATTTTGCAACACCACTCACTCAGGCAGAAGATCAACGACATCCTGCACTGGCCATCAACCCCAGCCTTGACGCAGGACAGCGCCAGTCACCAAAGAGCACGGATAGGCCTGAAGGCCCCGAGCCTGCCTCACAGGCGTATGCCTCGGAGACTCTCCATGAGAGCACCACCAGACTCAGGGCTACAGGCCATGAAACCCAGCCACACAGCCCACAACAGCCGCACAACCCAACACAGCGGCAGTCGCCCCAAATTGACGAGCACGAAGACTCCATCGCAGTGGACTTCTTCTGAGGCAACCGCCAACTGAACGTGGAGTGCATAGGCCTCGAACAACTTGCCAAAAAGGCAACAGCTGAAAACCTTCAGGAAAAATAAATACATACATACATACATACATTACATTACATTTACATTACCTTACCTTACCTTACATTACATTACATACATACATACCATACATACCTTACATACCTTACGTTACGTTACATTGCATTACATTTCATTACATTCCATATATGGCTTTGCATTGCATTGCATTTGCATTGCGGTTGCATTATGTTACATTGCATCACATTACAATACCATACAGTACAAACATTAGATACTTACATTACATAACACACATACATTACAATACGGGTACGCTTTTAATTTGGGATTTTTTTCATTTTTTTTCGGGAATTTTTTCAGAATCATCCGGTTGACATTTTCCTGCTAATTGCCGCAATTGAGGGTCCTTGCACGACAAACAGCTGCCGTAGCGGGCAAAATAAAAAACATTGGAATAGAGCAGGTTTCTTATTAATTCCTAGCTAATTACAGAAATTTCGGGTCCTTAGCAAAGACACAGGTGTCGCTGGCCAAATACATTGGAATAGTGCAGGTTACATATGTTTTGCTAGCTGACTAGACCAATTTGGTATATCTAGCAGAGACAGGGCTGTCGTAGCTGGCAAAAAAACATTGGAATAATGCAGGTTTCTTTGTAGTTCCTAGCCAATTACATCAATGTCGTGTCCTTAGCAGAGACACAGGTGTTATAGCTGGCAAAATACATTGGAATAGTGTAGGTGACAGAGAAATTCCGACCTATCACAGAGTTTGAGAAAGAGCAAAGAGAAAGAGAACTGGCGTAGGAGACATATTTGGGGTCAGAAGGTTTGGCCCTTATTCATTGCTAGCTGAGTAGAGCCCTTCGCATCTCCACTTAGGTGGCGTTCGTTGGGTTCTGGTGGCTAAATGCAGGTGGCCATGCAAGCAACCATGCAGCCATGAGTTTGGACGACAATGAGAAGCTCTGGCGCAAATCCTTTTTACAGCGCGTGTGCCCGGCGTAGTGCGAGTAGCCGGTCACGCTGAGACAGGCCCTTAGAAGCAAGCAAGAGTATGAGGGTGCAGACAGGAGTAAGCGGAACGCATTGTGCAGCCGAAGGAACTCTCCACAAACGAGGCGAGGCCTCCAAAGACATGGCTGATCGAAAAGCTAAAGGAACATCGATAAAATTGAAGAAGTCACAAACTAGTACGAGGCCTGCGGACTGCTATCTGGACAGGCTTCCTAAGAGAGGGCAAAAGAAGAAAAGCAAAAGAGAATGGCAAATCGACAGCCCTACTACGGCACGAGTGGCGAAAGTACAGACAGCATGAGGCCCGGACCCCGCTTTGCGGCGTACTTTGTGCTCTTTTGGCCTGGGTGCTTTCGACATGTTGTTGGATGCGCCCGAAAAGGGACACGCAGGGAGCACTGAGGTGTTCACAACACTTGCTGAAGCCTCTCATGCGACAAGGAATCTCAATGGGAAGAATCTGATAGCTGAAGCCAATCGAGCATATTATGTTCCAGGCCTGCGGAGCCGTATGTGGACAGTTTTCCTGACGGAGAGGCGAAGAACCAAAAGCAAAAGCTCACACAGCCATGGGCGATAAGTTTGAGGCCCTAACCCCGCTGTGTGGCATACTTTCGGGTCTGCCTGCCTGGGCGCTTCGAACATGCGGTTGGAGGAGTACGAAAAGAAACACGCAGCAGAACTAAGGTCTTCACAACACTTGCTGATACCTCACACGCGGCTTAAAGGAAATCTCAAAAGGAGATGTTGGCTGAGAATTGCAGCGCCATATTTACAGTTCTTTCACGCAGCAGCACTAAGGTCTTCACAACGTTTGCTGACGCCTCACATCTAAGATGAAGAAAGGTAGCGAGAAGAAAATGACAGCCCGGGCCAATCGAACATGCGTAAACAGTTGGAGCCAAAAGCTTGGATGTAACAGGCCTGCGGGCCGCTATGTTGGCAGTTTTCCTCAAGGAATGCAAAAGAAAGAAAAGCAAAAGATTACGGCAAAGCGACAGCCCTACTATGGGGAAAGCGGCGACAGTTGGGCGGTATAGGTATGAGGCCCTGACCCCGCTGTGTGGCATGTTTTCTGCTCTTCTGGCCTGCGCGCTTCAAGCATGTTGTTGGAGGCGTACGAGAAGAAACACGCAGTAGTACTAAGGTCTTCACTGCACTTGCTGACGCCTCAGGCAAAATCTTGTTGTTGGAGGCATACAAAAAGAAACAAGCAGTAGCACTAAGGTCTTCACCGCACTTGCTGATGCCTCACGCAAAATCTTGAAAGTATATGGAAATGTCAGTGAGAAGAACACGGTGGCAGCTCCAAAGTTCTTTCGCACAAATGCTCCCAGCCTCGTCTTTCAAGGTCGACATCAAAATGTGAGCTTCGGAAACCTTCATGCCGAAGATCGTGACGAAATCAGCAAAGCCAAAGGATGAAAGAGCTTGGACCGTCGCGCCGTGCCGCTTCATGGCCGGGAAGTAGTGGCCGCAGCCGGCGCGACGGAGCAATTCTCGCAGGACGGACTCCGAAGCAGACAAGGCCTGCGACTGAAGTACATCTGCGGGGAGAGGCGTGGCTGGAGAAGCTCTCGAGACAGCTGGCCCTGGAGTCAGGGTGCCACCGGGCGGACAATGCTGTGAGCGTGTCTTTGGCCGGCCCTTGGGCTGTGGACGCGGCAGCTGGACCACATCGATGGTGTTTTGGTGGAGCATGAGGGAGTACGCGTGCTCGCATGGCCCCCAGCGTGCGGCCACACCGCAATTGAAGCACAGGCAAAAAGCATGTGGATTGCGATCCGCCTCCGGGCAAAGTGGCGCGCCATGCAGTTGCCAGTACTGCTCGCAAATTGGGCCTTGCACCACCAAGTTCCAATCATCAAAGAGCTTGGCAGCCTTTTGCCACTGAAAGTGTCCGGTGGTGGACTCATACAAACCCAAGCTGTCAAGGATGCTTCGAACTTGGTCGGGGCTTGTGGCCTGCACCAGCTTGACACAGGCATTGACTGTGGAGGGCGCGAGGGGGGAGAAAGACCGTTCCTTGTATTGCTTCTTTTTCTGGTTTGGGCGTGCTCCTGTCCAATCCACCTTCCAGCGTGAGGCAGGAACCAGCATCCAGCAGTTGTTGTCAGCGTCCACAAATGTTTGATGGAAGCCCAGCTCGAGCAATGAGTGAGGTGTGGAACGGCCTTCTGCTGCCAAACTCGATGCGTTGCGCAGCGTGTGCTGGTCGATGAACTGGCCGATGGATGGCCAATCTTGCAACGCTTTGCCTTCTTGTGCCATTTCCTCCAAGTCCAGGAGGGCAGGCTCAACGATGAAAGCTTGCAATTTGTTTGCAATTTCAATGGGCTCGTACTTGGTGGTGGGAAACGACGGTTTGAGCACGTTCCCATGCCAGCTTTCTTGTGGGGCTGACCCGACATCTGTGCCTGGCATGATGCGGTCAGGGCCTGACCGCCATGGGGCTGACCAGAGACGCTGTGGACAGGCTGTTTGGTGGAAGTACTGGTGTTGAAGTGAGACAACCAAGCGTGAATGCCTGAGGTGACCCAAGTAATCGAACAGAGCTGACCACACCACGTGGAAGAGCATGGCAGTCATTCTTTTGGAAAGGCGGCACCATTGCAGAATCATGCTGGTGATGTGCTTGTCATCGCCGAGGCTTTTGGAGAGCAGGCCACGCAACCCGCTAGGGCCCTGGCTTGTGGCTCCTGTAACGTGGGCCCAGTCGGCCAGACGTTGGCTGTTGGGGAGGATGTCCTGTCGTGCTTTTTCAAGGCCCTTGTGCATATCCCCATGAAACTGCGTAATGTGCTGCGGCTGCAAGTCATGCCCCAAAGTGTTTGCTGTCCGCAGGAGGGTGGCTAGAAGATGCTTGTAGGCATCACCATCCTCTGTGTTTGCCAGGGCAAAAGCAAGAGGTCGGAAGCTTGAGCGGTAGGCAAAATGATGATTGCTCTTGCGCTGGGACCAGTTCTTCACATTCACCCCCAGTGTGAGGAGGGTGTACTGGCCGAACAACAAGCGATATGTACCATCAGCTGAGAACTTCAAATTCCAAGGTTTTGGGAGGAGGTCCAAAGTCAAGTGGAGAAGCTGTGGGCATATCAAGGGAGCGCAGACCATGTCTTCGGACAAATGCAAATCGATGCAGCGGAGCTGCCGGTCCGAGGGGCGAAGGCGAGAGTCCGTTGGTGAGATGGCAGTGGCTCGACCCATGTCTGCGTTGAGGCGGTCACGCAGATATTCAAAGTCTGCTGCAGAGTAGGTTTGCTTGTTGCTATGGGGAATCTCTTTGCTCTGTGCCTTTGTCTTCTGTCTAAAGCGCTGAAGAAAGCCTTGAAGTTGGCGCAAGTTTGGTTTTTTAGGCTTGGTGTCACCTGCCTTCCGCGGCCGCATGTTCGCTAAAAGGCCGTCAATCGTGCGCAATCGCGCCTGGTGGCTTGCGCTTGAGACCAAAGTGCGTTGCCTGTGGGTGAGTGTGCCCCACAACCGCTTCTCATCGGGCGCATGCGCTGATGAGGGCGAAGTGCGGATGAGAATTTGCGGAGGATCTGCCTGTGTGTTGAGGGTGGCCATGCCCGACCATGGACAGTCCTTGCGGCCTTTTTTCTCATCGCAATGTGTTTTGCAAGTAAAACAACAAGTCAAGCCCTTCTTGGTCGGCTTGCGCTTGTGGCACTGGATGGTCAAGCTCTGGTTCAACGGTTGTGCTTGAAAATGCTTGGACACAGCTGCCATGAACGAGGCTTGGTCCGAGGGCCCGCTATGAGTAACGACCTGGGTTTCTGAAAGGGCAGGGCGGCTTCCTGAAGACTTTCTGCCTGCCTTCACGGGTGGCTTGGGCTGGCCATGTTGTTTGCCTGTGTATGCAAAGTAAGATAGGGATCTACACGTGGCATCCATTTCTGCGATGCCGGACCATGTGCAAGTGTTGTGCTTGCAGGTTGCACATCGGAGGCTAAAGGGCAGGAGCTGCTTGAGCTTTTTGCGCTTCAGGGCGGTGGCCTTGACCCGTAGAGTGTCATTCCTCTGCTCCAAGCTGGCGTTGATGCGGCTAGCCACATCAAAGGCACTGAGTGGGAGACCGTCCAGAATGAGCGGTGGACCCAGCTCTTCCCTCTTGTCTGCTTTTGCCTCCTCTGCTCTGGCTGGCGCAGCGTGGGCTTGTTCTGGCGCTGCCTGCTGCTCTTGCGGTGGCTGCGCTTTGTGGCTTTTAGGCTTTGGCTGCTCTGGCGGGATGTGAGCTGCTGGCCTCTTGAAAGTTTTGCCGCTCCCGGTCATGGCTGGAGGTACGGTGAGAAGTGGTAAGTTCAGATGTCTCCTGTTGCTTTCTGGCATGGAGCTTAAGTGGAGGCGCAGCCTCAAAGACTGCTGCGCACTGCCTTCGCGCTGGCCGGCGCCGTAGCGCGCCGCCAAATCAAAGAGGCGCTCCAAGCCATCGCGGTTTGAACGAAAACCGAACCTGGCAGGGATGGCTGTGTTGGCCTGGGTCACGGTTATGTACTGCTGGCGCTGACACTTTTGCAGCAGGATGGCCAAAGCTTTGTCGTCATCGGACATAGGGTTGAGCTGCCCTGCCTGTGATCGCGCGCATGCGCGCGGTTGTCTGGCTGGCCGGGATCCTCGGTCATCCAAAGTCTGTGGGCCAGCTCGCTCGTGGAGAGGAAGCCGCATTTCATTGTGAAGAGTGACCATGTTTCGGAGCATGAAATGAATGTGCTCTGGGCCGGCTAGAATGTGCTGGGGTGCAATTTGGCGAAGAAAGTCCAAAGGTTGCTGCGCCAAGGCTGCAAGGTAGTCTGGGTCGCCAGCACGAAGTAATGGGAGGTGCGCTCGGTTGGCTGTGCAATGTTCAAAGGCTTTGTGAAGCAGGTGCGATGTAGTGATGTGGGAGGTGGTTGTGAAGCAGTGCTTGCCAACCACACCAGCTGCAAAGTCTGGCACGTTGTCTTTTGCTTGTTCAGCAACTCGGTGGAAAGTCTTCCACAGGATAGCAGCTTCACTGGTGAGTTCTAGAGGGCATGTGTGGAAAGCTCTGGAACCCATGGTGTGTCCCATGAGCCCTGCCAAGGTTGCAAACAAGTCTAGCATGAAAGCTGTTGCGCCCTGGAAGGTGACATGTGGAGAGTTCTCGGCTTCGTCCAGAATCTTTCCCGGGAACAAAAAAGTAGGCCTGAACTCCCAGCCCATGCCGTTGAATGGGCAGTCGGCAAAAAAGCTTTGGCCCCAGTAATCGTGGACCAGCTTAGGCTGCGCGGCATGGAAATATGTGAAATTTGTTGTGGGGATGTAGAACTGCTCAGCATTGATGCTGAGAGGGCCATACGCTTGGCCGTTCTGTGTGTTCTGTAAGTAGGCCTGATTGATCTTCATAGGCGTGGGTTGTGTTTTGCCTTTGCCCTTTGCCCAGGCAACATCTACAGCTGACCAAGCCTCCTCAGTCAACCAAGCAATGTGCCCATCGCTGGCCTTCATGCGGCGTGCAAAGTCAGAATTTGTAGAGTTTTGCACAAACAGAGTCTTGTCCTTGCCAGGCCCTGCGGCGGCAAACTGAGACTGGAGCCTGTCTGTGAGACATTGTTTGCCGGGTGTGGAAACAAACACTCCATCCAAGCACAGGCGGAAAAATGGAGACTTTCCAGTGTTGCTCTCTGCTATGAGTGTGGAGAAAATGCGTGGCCTGCACTCATGTTCTGGCTTGAGAGGGTTGAAGATAGCATGGACATCTCGATGAACGACCCAGGGCGCAAAAGACATCAGGAAGCCAAAAACAAAATCACGGCCAATGCCGGCATGCTCTGCAAAGCGGCACAGGACCGCAGCAAAAAATGGTAAAAGCTTTGGCAAGGCCAGGGGCTGATGCCAAGCATCTGCAATGGTGCCACCATACGTATGAGAGTCCACTGCTCTTTGCTGAAAGAGCTCCACTTCCCAGGCATGAAGGCTTTCGAAGGTCAGGTTGTAATCTGCAGGTTGGGCGGGCCATGCAACGGGTAAATCCAAAAAGAGATCAGTGAGCGCTGCGACATTCCGAGGTGCAATGTTGCAATGGGCCTCGTAAAGCCTGCCACTCTCAGCTTCTACCGCGTCATGCCTCCCTAGCCAGAAGGCGGAGGCAGCTGCTTGGGTGGCTGAGGCAAGAGTGCGTGTGTTCATATGCTGCTGGAAGGTGGAAAGTGATTGGGGCTGCTCGAGGCGTTGAAGTTGGTTGGATGTGTTGGATACTTGCCCTGTCTGGATGGAGGGTTGGTCGGATGTGTCGGGTTGCTCCTGTGGATCTTCAAGATCTTGTAAGTGTAAGTGCAGGGTGCCTGCTGGCAATAGTCGTGTCCATGAGGCAGGTGCTGGCGGTATGGGCATGGGAAGGCCGCACTCCTCCTCGGCCCTTTCAACATCAATCGCTCCGTCGATGTGCTGTCTTTGATGGCGGCGATCGGAGGAGCACGCCCAGTCCAAGGCTGCATTGACACAGTCTGGGTGTCTGGAAGCGGCGTCCCTGGCAATAAGGGGTGGCACACCCAGAGAAAGCAATGTATGGTACATGTCGTTGGGTAATGTTGCTGGAGGTGTTTGCGGCGGCGGCCGTTGTGGTGCTTGGTTGTTGTAGTTCGCTGGCGCGCTCTCCAAAGACTGTGCACTGCTGGTATTCACGCGACCAAGCTCCTCAGTAGAGCTGGCCCCAACCATGCTTGGGAGGTGGCGCTGTTGTGGTTGGCGTCTCAGAAATCCACAAATGCAATACGCATAGAGGCCAACGCACGAACAGCCATCATGATACAAATCAACCTG